TCATAAAATACTTCCTCTGGTTTATTTCTGCTCTGCTCTACTTTAATAAAAACATTCCCAGAGCCTATACTATTACCAGTTACACCATCCTCATAAGCAGAAGGTGATGAACCCAGAGCATCCAGTTTAGGAATAGAATTGGCAGAAGGATCTTTACTGGCTGTTGAATCAGAAGCAATTGCTACTTCACCACGAAAATCTGGTGCCGACTTTGATTCAGGCAATTTTGATGCATTGAAAGAGAGATTTTCAAATGGAAGGGTTTCAACATCATGGTCAGCTACTTCTTCAGTCATAACACGAGTTGAGGAATGAGAGTGATTATATACTGGTGAAGGTATATGAGGGAAATCCTCCTAGAAATCAATTAAACCAAAATTAGTAAATTATGAGCATCGGGGAACACAAGCAAGACCCCCTTGGCCCTTGTTCAAAAAAATAAAATAATAACAACAAAAACAAACTAAGCCTTATTCCCAATATACTTAGGGTCGAGCCGGTAGGCTATAAAAACCATTTTTCGTCATTCCACTTTGTTCACAGATTTATCTGCTGGGATATAAAGCAACTATATCATCAGTAATTACATCAGGACATATTAATTTTGGTCTATTTCTCTCTCTAACTTGCTCTACCGAAATCACTTCTCTTATGAACAAGGTTTCTTCAAGTCAAAGCAAAACATGACTCAACCACCTAAGTCCTCCTTCCTTAAATTTATTTTCAATCCGTGAAACTCCATTTATTTGTGTACGTCTTCATTTCTTCCCTTTTGTACATCTAGCATCCTCATTTCTACTACTTCCATCTTATGGACATCTTGACCTTCAATGGCCCAGCACCCAAGTAAATTAAATAAAATGAAAATGACATACACACACCATTCCCATGCCATGGAATAACATAAATCACAGTTGCAGAAAGCATGGCCTTATGTCCAAAAGCATTCAAGTTCTTGAAACCAATGAGAGCTAACATAATATGAAAGGTAAACCAAATGGTAATTGTAATGACATAGTGCAGAAGACAGAGTAAGCGTAATTAAGTTTACATTTTATATTAAGAGGCACCCACCTCACCCTACCCTTTCATGCACGTAGACTCTTGACGATAATGTTACTTATTTAATAATAAAATTCAAAAATCAATAGAATTCCATTACCAATTTAACAATATACACTTAAATGTGATTCTTCTGACAAAGCTTGGTGTTAGAACTCTCTCTGTGACTGGAAAACAAGGTTAAAAAATAATACTTGGAGATTAACAAGATCTCAATCACTCCTCACTCTGGAGGAAGGGATGTGGTTTATTTATCACTTAGGCCCCGTTTGATTGCACGAAATTTTCCATGGAACTTGGAATTCGAATTCCAACTTCCACTTTTGGCCTGTTTGATTAACAAAATTTTCAGGGAATTGATTTTCCATGAATTTCTAGGTACAACACCTTAAAGCGTGATTTTCCACCTTTTTTTTTCCTAGGGGATAGGTGGTTTTTGGTTTTCCACCTTTTCTTTTTATTTTTATTTTTGCTTTTTTTATTTTTTTTTTAATTGTTGGCAATGGGAACAAATTTTAGGAATAATTGTAAAAGAGGATATCCCTAAAATTGACAATTTCCACGTAAAACAAAGTCAAACGAACATCAAAAAATACTTTTACTTCAACATTTTCCACGTGAAAAATTTATACAATCAAACACAATAATTTACAATTTCCATGAAAACAATTTCTAGGTAATTCAATTCCTTGGAATTCATTTTCTTTCCATGTAATTTTCCTACTTGTAATCAAACGCACCCTTAATTCTTTTGGTATACGTTGAAGACAATACACAGAGTGAAGCAATAATAACCGGATGGATGATTAAAAATATTTACAAATTCCACGTCAAACATTAATCATTTCACACTGTTATCTTAGTATAAAAAAATTATTTATATAGTCATATATGCAGCACATCTTTAAACGTTGATCTTCACTATAACTAACACAGAAAGTATGAATTGTTCAAGAGTGGAGTTCATCACCAGTCTATGTGGCTGTGGGTCACTGCCACGTCATCCAATGCAGTGAAATTGGGATGCATTTTTATTCATTGGATAATGTGGTAATGGCCGTGCTACCAAAGACTTGTAACACAAATATCATTAAGCAATTTTGATGAAATACAGAGAGCCATAAGTTCTGTAAATCCTTATGATATGCCGAAAATATTTCAGACTTTATCATGTTCATCAACAACATAGGACTGAAAAACCTTGTCCATTACCTGCGTTAGATCGACTAAACTCTTATTACGACCAGAAAAAGACACGCTGTTGTGTCCAGGCATCATACGACTACTACTTTCTACCCAGTCACCAGAAGCTTTCTTGGATGAACTAGCATCTTCAGGCTCCTCCACATGAATTGGAAGAGATCTTCTTGGCACGTGAAAGGATCGGTTGGCACCGTCTGGAGATGACAATCTCCAATTACTGCCAGAAGCCTGATGTCTATGCTCCCTTGAGATAATAGGTGAAGGAAGCCTCAGATTTGAGGAATAGTGTGCATAATATGGATCGGTGTACAGTTGCTCCTCAGATTGAAAATTTTCTAACGCACTGCTTAAAGTTGCCAAATTTGAATTCGAGCCGGAGCTCTGTCGACGTATAAGGTTACCAGAAGCTGCAAAAGAACCTTCTATACTTGGAGGTGCACTATCACTACGGCTGAAAACCATGTTACTTTGATCTTCACGAGTGTTGTGCGCTTTAAGAAGCAATCCCAGTTCGTCAATAGCTATGTTGGATGCAGCATTCTTGGAAGATGCCCACTTTCGAGCTGGACTGCTTTCCATAATTCTCATAGGGTTCTCAGTTGCCATTCTATCCAGAAAAAGTGCAATAGACACCTCTAGCAACAACGGTTTTCACATTTCTTCAGCAACAAAAACAATAAAAGTCATTACTATGCTTTACGTGCGAGAACCATATTCATACGCATGTAGTTCATTGATTTATGGAAAGTACGCCCACAGTCAATTTTTTTTTTGCAAAGAACAGAAAATTAGAACAAGCACACGAAATGAATTTAACCGAGTGCAAGACTGCTGGAATAAATGGAAGATAAATGTGTGAAATAAAATTTAATGAAAATCCGGCTGTTAACATCCGCTAATCAATATACAGGCAACACATGAAAATTTTCATGTTGCAGTGTGATTTGACTTCCACTATCTAAGTTTGACCATAGAACATGAAATCATAATGAGACATCCGCTCATTATGAAACCTTGAGGAATCGTGCTGATATCCTGCTAAAGCAAGTCCATACATGAAAAGGATGATCAGGAAAAAGGAAGAAATCTTTCTAATTCTTCTCGAAAAATTATCTACTCCATCAATTAATAACTGAATATTCTGGCATGATAAGTTTCAACAAACAGTTCATAAATGATTAATAAAATGCCTCCCCATTTTAAGGTGTATGCATTGAACCACTTCTCTATAACTTGAACGAATAGGTACAGAAATTAGATACCAAACATGGTTATTTACTAAATTTAGTCTTCAACAATAACTGAAACATAAAAGCATAATAACAACTCGACAAAGAGCTAAAATTTTAGACCTTAAACCCTAATTAGTCAGAGATTAAGCAAGATTTCTTACCAAAATAGAAATTCAGGCACCCCTTCTCACCTACACCCCAATTCCCAATAAATACTAATAAATGAATAAAATTACGGAAAAGTGAAGCCAAAAGAAACAAATAATATTACGCGAACCCTTGAAGTAGGGATGGTCAAGTACATGATCAAAGCTCACCAATTTGGAGAACCCAATTCAGCTGAATACTCCGACGAATTTTCAAAGAAATTCCAGTTCCAAGTTCGATATCAAAAACCCACAAACAAAATGGTGAAAATTCAGAGAGAAAGCGCGAGAAAAAGACGCACGGAGAGAGAGAGACAGAGAGAGATTTGTGAGTTTAAAATACAAATGTCGCTTCTGAAATCTACCACGGTATTGACAAGTTTTCCGGGTTTTCGATTTTCTGTTTATAAAATATTCAGAATGATTATGGAAGTCAGTCTTCGATTGTGTTGAAATTAGACGCTAAGAACTGTTGTCGAAATGACATTATTACCCTCGATCCCGGACTTCCAACCTCATTTGTTTCTAAATTTTATTTATAATCGCGAATGAAGAGAGATTTTCTTTTCGATTTTTGTTATAAGCATTGCAGTTGCTGAAGTAGACATTTTAATTTGCCTTTCAAAATACGAAATTCGAGACGTTGAATGCACGTACATGAAATCACAATCCAAATGTCCCTAATAAAATCATTGTCACTTTTATAAGATTTAACAATGGCAACAACTCAATCATCTAACTCTTGCAAATGAAAAGAGTTGAGAAAGTTGCTATGTTCTTAATAATGTAGGAAAGTTAAAGAAGAATATTTGAGAGTGAATACTAACTCAAAATAAAAGTTGTAAATTACCTTTATTCTTAATCAAAGACTGCTTTAAACTCTGTGAATTTGACGAGGAAAAAATAAGAGCATATTGGACACATGTCCTAGAATTTTTGAATTTAAAGATGAGAATCACGGATGGTCGGGGAATTTTGTTTTGATGACTCACCGAATATTTTAAATGTACATGCTATCAAGTTTAATTAATCACCTATATTCAAAGAATATGCGATCTGCCATGCTCGACACTTTGAGCAAGTAGACTGTCTGCTTTGCCTTGCTCCATCGATTGAGAGAGGGCATATTTGGCCAATCAAATGTCAAATCAATTGACCTTCTCGTAACCGTTAAACTAATCAGCACAAATCCAAACTAATTGTATGTCAATCAATAAATGGTCAATAACAACATGTATCAAATGTTGTAGCATCAAAAGTAATAATTTGAAAAATCCCACGTTATATGACATTCATCGGTGTTTCACGAACCATAGCTAACATATGATACTTTGTAAAACTCAGTGATCAAGCAAGCTGAGTAAAACACATTTTGTGAAAATTTACAATTTATTATCCTACTACAAAACCCTCAACCAAGATGTGAACCGAAGCCAAATTTTGTTCCAAATGTAACAATATATATTACCAAAACTAATTCCGATATTACAGACTACATAGAAATCGTGGTGAAAACCTATTCGAATAAACCAAAGCAACATTAGTATCACAAAGCTTGATGTTTTCAGAACAGAAGTAACATATTTATGCACAGTTTTGCATGGTTCATGACATGCCAAATTGAGCTAAGCTAGTAACCCAACCAAGTAGAAGGTATTGGCAGAAACTTGTGTTTGGCAAGTGCCAATAAATCGTAGTAATCTGACTGATTAAAGCAGTCACGAAAATCTGTAAAAAGTCTCTCGAAAATCCTCCACTGAACTTTGTATGATCTTGAGTAGGGATATGACAGAAAAACCTGCACAACATTTTTATTGTCGTATTAATACAAAAGAAATACATAATTAAACTGAGAAAGAAGTGAAACGGAAAGTATGATAAAATTATAATTCAAAATGACCCTCCACTCGAACAAAACTCAAACCAGTGATTCAGGACTAAACTCTGGTAAGTAAAAAATTTCCCCCAATGAATAATAAAAACTTGTTGAGCTGCGGCCAAAAAAAAAACTGACTTATCTAGAAGACTGCAAACTATAGGTACAGAGACCCTAAACAAGATCATTAGCACATTTAACACTCTAAATGAAAAAGATACAAATGTCATTTACTTAAATATATTTTCAAACCAAGCTGATAAAAAGATTATGATTGGAAATTTGCGTACATCTCCCTCAAATGCAAGGCGTTTAAGTAACAGAAAGGTTTCCTGATTTTCCTCGAAGTTGTCAATAACAGCCAACCAGATCAGTGAAGCAAGCTCGTGTGCCTTGTCTCGTGACTTACCACAGGCAATAAATTGATCTGCTAGAAGCAAAGGGATCGGGTTAATGAGAATTATTGATGCAACATGTTTTCAATCCATAAAATTGGGAGTGTGCAAAGATACTATTGAAATTAACATCACAAAGAATTTTTTTTTTTTAACAAATGACCCATATTTCAAATCCTTCATGAATGACCCAAAATTGAATTTTCTACAGCTACACATCCAGCTTCCTTTATGTGACTCCATAGTTGCACAACTGACCAGCTAATTCTTTCATCAGTTCATGTCTACAACAAGATCACTGAAACAAAAATTCCTTCACGTTCCTCCTATGCCACACGTTGGGAAATACGGATCGTGGGTGCCCATGTGGGGGTGACCCAACCCGCAAGATATCAAAAGGGTTGGATGGAGTGGTTTGAATTCCTACAACTCCCGAATAACATCCCTTAACTCCAACACAACGTCCCATTATTGTCTTGGACAAGAAGAGAGAAAGATGGTAGAAAAACATGGTGAAATTCGTATGGAAAATACCACCAAATTTGAAAAGTGTCTAGAAACACATATTTGGCATGGAAACTCACAAAATTAGGTACTTAGGTTGTGGATAATAAGTCCCTTCCATCGTGATTAGGATTGGAACCATTGGAATGCAAGAAAATGCAGAATTTGTGTTTGGAAAGCAAGGTGGTTCAACTACACAAAGATCTTGGTGTTTTCATTTTTACAAGTAAGAATCTTGACCCATAATTTAAGTTAAAAAAGGCAGCGAATTCTTTCATCACCAAACAAACCAGCCACAAATTAGTTTAATGGAGGATAGAATATGATGAACATATTATTTCTTCAATAAACTACTTAGAACAGTCTCTTTGATCATGTTCTCAGATTAAGGAAAGTGTCAAGCATGTGATCACACCATGGACTTCTTCTCAAGTTCTAGCAGCAACAAACCTCACATCCAATTAAAGACACAGCTGCTTTCTTATGAATGTTCTATTGGATAGCGTGTATGGCTAAGCTTAAAAAAAGTTATTAAATAAATATAACTAAATAAGTAGGTTTTAGAACAAGTAACTTTGTTTTATTAGTCAAAGTTGGATATAAAGTTACTTATTTAAACAAAGGCAAGAGTTAATTTTTATACTTAAAAGTAAGGGAAAAAATTCATATATTAACTTTTACTCCTTTTGAAACTTAGCCAAACATGTTCTAAGAACGTTACGAAGACAAAGCAAAAGAATTCGGTGAAGACCCTTCATATGAAATCATTCTGATGGAGAACCAGTTATGTCTCTCAGCTTAAAACTATGTGGATTCTTAATGTAACAGTTATGATAATGTCCTTATGCAATTATGATACATCTGTAATCAGTAACAACAGCACAAGTAATATCTAAATGATTTAACACAGCACCTATTATCGTTCCATGGAGAACCCCAGATGGAGGAGGCATGGTAAAGATCTCAAGCTGCTCTTTCAGAAACAAATAAGTATGACCTACGATCTCATCCATTTCATCATCAAGGGAAAAGATGTATTTACAGACATAGAATGCAGCAAACCTCCTGAAAATAGGTAATAGAATTGCAAGGTTACTAGTTTCAGTAGGTTTAATGGAGGAAAAAAATATATATACTCATGTCGCTTAGACACGAGCAAAAAAATAAACATATTCTTATCCTAACAAGAATAATGAAAAATCATCGCATAAGTACAACTATATGTTTGGAGTCTTACTGCAAGTTTTTTATTTTGTAAAATTATTGTTTTCATTGATATATGCTACCTCTTTATTATTCACTCATAGAGGAAGGATGAAACCTACCTTTTGCTCAACCCGCAAGGAATAGGGCCTGGCCATCTTTTAGCTTGACCAGCCAAAGGAAAACTCCTAATGAGAGCCGCATGCCACAAGCACTCTCCCCGAAACAAATCAGCCCAGTGTTTCTGAACACAAGAGACTTGTCCCCAATCTGAGATGGGAACACGAATGAATATCTCTATCAGCAGATGATCCGGTAGACTTGTGAAAAGACAATTAGCAGAAAGCAACGCTGCTTTGTTGCTCTCGTCCGCCATTCACTGGAGATGGGCAGCGGTAGTATAATCTATCATAAAGATAATCCAAAAAAAAAAAAA